GGGCTTACTTCTTCTTTAAAAGTTTGGGAAAATTCAGAATTGAAGCCACGAATGTTCTAAATTCTTTTCTGACATTTCAGTAATATCTTCTAATATTTCCCTTGGTGGAGACATATTTCACTTGGTTCTCTCATCCTTAAGGCTGTTCTCTGAGTTTTAGTCATTTGGTAATGTATTTACTTTTGGCTCATTTCTCTGAGAAGTATTCTGTAACTGTGAGCTTGTGTGTTTTCCTTTACTGTGAAATAATTCAGTGCTATTTTCTCCTTTCTACTGTCTTTTTCAATGTTGTAATCACACGGGGAGTTTTGAATTCAGATTTATGAAGTGGAGTTTCTTCTTACAACCAGTTCAGTGAGGATTGAATAATTCTTTGAGTCTCACAGTATTCAGATGTTTGGTGACTATACACCTAGAGCTCTCTAGTCAGTGGGTAAGAGCCAAGCAGTAAAATGAGAAAGTGTGATTAAAGAAAACAAAAGTAGAAAGCAGAAATAGGAAGAAAAGGCAAAGAAAAAGGAAGGAAAGAAGAAAACAAAAAGAACAGAAAGAAGCAGAAAGTGCGTCACAGAAAATAAAATTATGTTAAAAATGAAAACTCCGTGGAGCCCTTGTGTGCTTGCAAACAGGGCAGAAGAAGTAGCGGTCAAGATGCCTAGAACTGTTCTGTCCCATGTGAGGGAAGGAGGACAAATTAGCAAAAAAAAGACACAGGGGAAGGAAAGCTGTTTTTTTTTTTTTTTAAATTATAAAGTTATAAAAGATGGGAAACAACAGGATAGAGAGGGATTTTAACCTACTTTACTAAGGCCTATGACCTGGAAATGAGGAGGCCCAGGCTGGCGGCTTCACAGCAGTGAAGGTGGATGCAGGAAAGTGTAGGACAGGCAGAGATGGAGATGCCTGAAACTGTTCTGCTGGTCCCGTTCTTAAGAGCTCTTTACATGTTAGCATTTTTAGTCTTTTGTGATATTAGCCATATTTCACCCCAGATTTTTTTTTTTTTTACTCTTTTGAGTCCTGCAGTTATATCATTTCAAATAGGGATAAATGTACTTTCCTGTGATCCTCATCTCTAATTGTTTTCTCTTATTTGATTGCTTTGGTTAACACCTCCAATAGTGAAAATCACCTAACCCCTCGTGTTATTAATATTTACAAAATACATTAAGAAGGTGAACATGAGAAGCCAGTATGGCTTCACAAAAGAACAAGTCTTTCCCAACCTCGTTTGCTTTTTCTAAAAATAGGTTTGCTCTACTTTGGCAGAAAGGCCTAAAGAGGGGTTCTGCAATCTGGTATTCTCTACCATCCTGCGTGAACTTAAATTAAAGAATTGTTTCCAAATTACGTATGTTCATTGTTCTAGGCTCAGCATCTTTCTAGAAAGACTTCTCTTGCATAAAATAGTTTAATGTGTGTTTATCACATTTCATGGCATAATATCCTAACGTGCATCTACTGAAAAACAGAATGGAAACCAAAAGAGTAATTAGATTTTTAAAAATTAATAATGTGAGTACAGAATTGGAAAACTACTTTTGATGTGGGCAGCTGCACTGAGGCAGCTGTACTGAGGCCTGTCCATGCCAGAGCTCTCCTGACTACTCCTCTGTGGTGTGGAGATGTCCGGAACTCACAGTAGCCCAAGGCCAACAGCTATTGACACTCCCCAGGCCTCTGTGAATTCACTGCCTCTCCCCCTTTAAAATGATAAAAACCACCTGAGGCCTTGGAAAGACAGACACCCTGCTTACCTAACCCTTTCTTCTCTAAAGTAAACTTTGAAGTTCTTCTTCCTGATAAGATACCCTAACCCTGCTGGAGCTCCCCCTTCCCCTGAATTCCATAATAAAAGACTGTGCTTAACCCTCACAGGGGGCCTGAGCTCCAGAATGTTAACTATTTGTATCTGCAATAAAGAGTATTCCTATTTCTCTGGAGTGCTGTGTTTTTGTCCCAGAGGTCTGTTTTCCCCACAACATTCGCTGCTTTGGCTGGGAAGTGAAAATCATATTGGTCCTTTGAGCCACTGATCCCAGGGTGCTCCCTGCACTGCGGTGTGGAGGGATAGGGGCACCCCTGACTTGTTTGACGGGATCCCTCAGCCAGGATGCCCACCTGAAGGGCGAGCATTCCTGGATTATCAAGCTCCAGTTGGAGAGAAGGACCGAGTCTTACTCTGGACCTGGATGCATCACCTATGGTCAACTCTGGTAATCTGGTAAACCCCGGAGATCTGAGTCTATCAGTTAGCCCACTCAGTGAGTGGAAGAGGGGAGTTATACACTCTCCTTCAGTCGCGGGACCGGCAGTCTGGACTCATCTGTTTCTGGTTGGTCTGTGACCAATTCTGGTAATTTGGTATTTTCTGTAGAGTCCATCAGTCAGCCATTCAGTAGAGTGGAAGAGGAGATTTGAACACTTTCCTTTGGTCGCAGGACTGGCAGTCAGGACTCATTTGTCTTTGGGTTGGTGATGCCTGAATGGTTTTCCCTGGGGATGGGGGGACACCCATCCTTTGTGTTACCACCTCATTCCCAGGAGGGGGGGACACAGGGCTTTCCCTGTAGAAGTGGGTAGACAGAGTAGATGTCAGGTTGCAATTTTTGGCCTTGGAAACTGGGACACGAGTTCCTCTCAACTGTGATGAAAGACGTCCTCCCAGAGCCCATCTTGACTTTCCTACAGAGGCTTACCCCGCAGAGCAAAACCTGCCCATGCTGCCTGGGAAAGGAGAGGGCAGGCATTAATCTCTCTACCTAGACTGCCTGTTCCCACTTTCTTCTCCACTCCACTCGTCTGCCACAGGAGTACTTCCTTTGGCTCCAGAGTATCAGCCACTGGAGAGCCAAGAAGAGGGACCCCAGAGAGAAACCACTGTGATCTTCCTAATTACAGCCCTTGGTCAAGGTCCCCCGAGAAAGTTCAACAAACTTATCGCCTGCATGGTCTGGCCCTATAAGCAATCCCCCTGGGAGAACTCTGAGCGGCTTCCAAACCTCTGGACTAAGACTCGCCCCCAGGAGCAGCAGTTCCTCCAGAGTCTGCTAATTGAGCACTTCCTCCAACCAGTGATCTCCCGTGTCTTTTGGGAAGTACAGACATTTAATCACTGGAAAAGTCAGAGAAATTCGGGGCACAATGGGAAATCCTCAGTCCAAATCTTCCAAGCCCACTGTGCTGGATTGTAAACTGACTAACTTTAAGAAAGGTTTCTCTGGGGATTATGAAGTTAAGTTAAAAACGGAGCAATGTGAGGGACTCACGGCAGCTCGGCCTGCCCAGGGAAGAGGCCACCACCTTCCCGAACTCTGCACCCAGAATCTGCCATCTCCACTGTCACCCAGCGAGCTACTGAAGCCCAGGGCAACCTCACTCTCCAGATGCCCTTGCGGGAAACCCGAGGGCCACCCCAGTTAGGCACAGGTTGGGTTATTACGGAAAGCAGTGCGACTTTATATTACCAGTCTTTTACCACCACCGACTTGCTTAATTGGAAACACCACACACCCTGTACTCAGAACAACCCCAGGCAGTGATAGAACTTATGGGATCTATGATCCAAACCCATCAGCCCACTTGGGATGACTGCCACCAGCGCCTCCTCTCTTTACTTAATACAGAGGAACAACATAAAGTCCCTACAGCAGCAAAGACATGGTGGCAAGAGCATGCCCCCAATGACGCAGTAGATGCCGAGGCTTGAGCCAGAATTGCCTTTCTGAGTGAAAAAGCTTAACTGGGATTTTCACACTGAGGACGGCCACAACCGTCTTAATAAATACAGAGAGGCGCTCTTGTAGGGGGTGAAGGCCGGTACAGAAAAGCCTACCGACATGACAAAAACAACAGAAATCATTCAAAAGGCAAATAAGCCACCAGGGCAGTTTTATGAGAGGCTTTGCGAAGCTTTCTGGACCTATACTCTGTTTAATCCGGAGAGCCCTGAAAGCCAGAAAATGTTGCATTCATAGCACAGTCAGCTCTTGACATCTGCAGAAAGCCCCAGAAACAGAATGGGTTTGCTGGAATGAATGTCACCCAACTCCCAGGGATTGTTAATTGATAGTTCAAAAACTGAGACTAAAAAAGAAAAAAAAGAGAGAGAGAGAAACAAAAACAAAAACAAAAAAACCCTACCTATTGGGGCACAAAGCAGAAAGCAGCCCTGCTCAGGGCTGCAGGCAGCAGGAGGCTTAGCTGCTTTAACTGTCAGCCCTACCAAAATCCTGGCTGTGGAGACGCCCTGAGAGGAGGAATGATGAAGTTTTCTCTGCACCTGGTGGAGACGATAAGGCACTCTCGTCACTTGTTAAAGACTTCTTGCTGTCTGGACAAAGGGGAACCTGCCAGGAATGGCAATCAACCACTCACCTCTAGTGGTTGAGCTGACACTTCCGGCACAGCCTGTACACCTCCACCAGTACCCTAGGCTGGCTATAAAACAAAACAAAACAAAACCAAACATTGACCAGATCAAAGAAGCTGGGATCCTAGTAGAGTGCCAGTCCCCCTGGAACACTCCCTTCCTCCCTGTAACAAAGGGACCTCTGGCGATTGTCAGCCAGTTCAGGACTTGCAAGCTGTGATGGTCTGCTCAGAAAGCTGAACTCTGGACATTAATCCAAGCCTTGTGATTAGATTAGAGGGTAAGCATCTACACAGACTCATGCTATGCATTTGCTACCCTGCATGTTTAATGGGGCATTATACAGAGAGAGAAGCCTCCTCTCGGCAGAGGGAAAGACAATCAAAAACAAGGAGAAAATCTGACAGCTATTAGAGGCTTTCTGTGATCCAAAACAAGTGACAATCATCCACTTCAGAGAACACTGGAGGGGGAAGACCCCACCACCCTGGGAAATCAACTGGCAGACCCAGCAACCAAAGCCGTAGCCAATCAGGGCCCAACCGCTCTGGCAAAAACGTTGCCACTCACAAGCCTCCCAAAAGCTCCCCACCCCACCCCCACCACCTCTGACAAACATCACTGGGCAAAATCAAGAGGGAGCAACCCTGAAAGAAGATAGATAATAAAGATTGCCAGATAAGAGAATACACATACCTCGGTCTCTGGGATACTCGGTAAAGCAGCACCACGAGTTGACTCACTGGGGAAAAATTAACCTAGAGAACATGTTGGGCTGAAACTACTTTCTGAGTTGCCTACCGTCATTGTGTGCAACTGTGAGCATGCGATGTGAGACCTGTGCCAGAAATAACCCTGCCCAGGACCCAGCACAGCCAGCTGGAATACAAGTCAGTGGGCTGACTCCCCTGGAATTACTGGAGACAGATTTCTCAGAAGTGTGGCCATGCCGGGGCTATAAATACTTACTAATCCTGGTCTGCACTTACTCAGGCTGAATGGAGGCCTTCCCTACCTGAACTGAAAAGGCCAGAGAAGTCACTCGAGACCTTTTGAAGAAAGTTATATCCCAGTTTGGACTTCCTCTTATGATTGGGTCAGACAACTGCCTTTGTCACAGAAGTTATACAGGGAGTAGCCAAGGCTTTGGGCATTAAATGGAAGCTCCACATAGTTTACTGACCTCAGAGCTCTGAGAGAATTGAACAAATGAATCGCACTCTCAAGCCTACCCTGGCTAAGCTCTGTCAAGACACAGGATGGGTGGATGTTCTCCCACTGGCCCTGTTCTGGGTTGGATGTACACCCCAAAATCATAGTTACTCTCCTTTTGAGATTCTGTTTGGCTGGTCACTTCCTTTAATAGCTCAGACCCGAACAGCTGACATCGGATGGAATAAACTTTGTAAGTAACCTGACATATCTCTCATGCCGATTTTAATATCTTATCTTTGTCTGGTGTTGGCCAATCTGGCTATGGTGTGCCTTGTGGAGAATCTTCTTGGGTTGATTCTATTTGTAATCCTAATTATTTCTTGAGTCTGGCTATTTGAATGCCTCTCTAGGTTTGGAAAGTTTTCTGCCAGGATTTTATGGAATAAATTATTGATGCCCTTAGTATTTTCTTCTTCTTCTGGGATTCTAATTAATAGTTTTTTGGGCACTTGATAGTATCTAGTATTTTTTGTATATTTTCTTGGTTATTTTCTGAGTCTTTCTGATCATTTTTTCTAGATCAGAGGTATTGTATTGTCTTCTACATTCGAGATTTGATCTTCTGGATGATCTAGCCTACTTCTAATACTTTCGAGGGAGGTTTTAATTTCCTGTATTGCATTTTACATCTCTAACAATTCTGTTTGATTCTTTTTCCTGGTGTCTATTTCTTCTTTCAAATCACAAAAGGACTTCCTCATCTCCTGGATCTCGTTGTCTGTTTTCTCTTGCATCTTATTTAGTTTGGTCACTACATATATTCTGAATTGCTTTTCTGACACTTCCACAAGTTCCATTGTGTTGTCTGTGGCTGATGAGGCAGAAGTGGGCAGTGGGCAGGCATCTGAATAGACCTCTGACCTGCTGATCCCCAGGAAAGCAGGAAGGCAAGCAAGAGAGAAGACAGAGTTCTTTTTGGTCTGAGTCACTGTCCTCTGGGACTTCTATAGCCCTCTATTCTCTTGCTAAATGTAGAAAAGTGCAAGCAGCATCACTTTTGTCTCCCTGGGCCTGGTGGGGAGGGAGGGGTGACCCACAGCAAGGGGAGCTGTCCCCCCACAGTGACGACATGGGGTCCATGCGGGAGGCAGCTAAGGAGCAGAGCTCCCCTGCCAGTGTGACCACAGACTGCAGAAGGAGGTTGGGAGTTTCAGATGCTAGAAAACCAGCTCCTAGATGAGCACACAGAATGGAGGTTCTTAAAACAGGATTCCACAATCAGGACTGTTATTTCTGAACTGTTGTCACACAACTGGTAAGGTCACTTGGGTGTGAGGCACAAGAGGAGTGTCAGAGGGAAAGATGGCAGCAGGAAAAAAAGAGAAGGGCTGCATGCGGGGATCCTCACGGGGAGGAAAACCGGCCAGCAAACAGGATCCCATTGGTCTGTTGCTCCCTGATGAAAAACAGGAAGGGGCGATCGGCTTTGAAGATGAGTGTAAAGCTGCTTAAGCCAAACGTCACCATGGTGTCAGTGGCCGCCGAGGCCTCGGTGCCCTCCTCGTTGACCTCCACAAAGGACTTGTGCACGACCTTGGACAGGAACAGGTCTCTCCTGGACGACATTCCGGAGAAGTCTGCGCTGCCCTGCTCGAAGGCGTCGGTCATGCCCAGCCTGCGGAGGACGGCCCCCATGTCGTAATTTTCCTCCAGCTTAAACCTAGGGAGGAAAACCTCCACTTCTTTTTCATGCATCTTATCTTCCCTGGTCCAATCTAAGAATTTCTCGTAAGTAATTTTTTTTTCCACCTGAAATAAGAGAGTTGGTTATGCATTTATTTATTTTGCCATGAACAAAAGAGATAAAGAGAGAAAAGGAGAAACAGAAAGCACCCGCTACAGGGTCTGCACACTGCAGTCCACTCCTGGTCCTGGCCAGCCTGGGTCATAGACTCCTGCCTGCCCAGTGTTCTCAGGGAGGTCTCTGGGCAGGAACTGGGAACCTTCCCACCTTTACCACTGCCCACACGTGCAGATTTTAGACCCAGGACAGTGCTGTCCACCAGGGCCATCTGCCAGGATCTGGGTGTTCTACACAGGGCAGCTCAGCACGGCCTGGTCAGAGTGGCGCTAGGCCCACACAGCTCACCGGAACAAGGGACTTGGAGAGCTGCTAGAGACGCCCTAGGGCAGCTCCCTCCCGTCCCTGCAGGATTGTCCCTTGGAGCTCGTTACCGTTTTCAGGTCAGTGTTTTCATTTGGAAGCATGATGACCATGTTCAGCTCCTGGCCGACATAGGGCAGCACCAGGATTGTGGTGGATATTTCTCTTACATGGGTCATTTTAAAAGTCGATTTCATATACATCATTTGCACAGGTTTTACTACATCCTAGAAAGGAAACAGTTAAGCATTAAATCAAATCAAGACCCACCGTGCCCACTTGACAGAGCCAGCCATTCTCAGCCCCTAGAAGCACCTTCTTTTCTCAGCGTCCAGAACACCCCTGCTGGCCACTCTCTGACAGCTTGTCTTCCCTACCACAACTTTCAAATACTAGAGCACCCTGTGCTTGTCTTTGCTGATCTCATTCATCTCATGGCTTTATTTTTAATGTTAATTATTTATTTATGTTTGCCACAGGGCATCTGTCCTCACTGGAGAAAGAGAGAGAGACAGTGAAAGAGGAAGTGAGAGATCACCTTATGGTGGATGGCCACACAGTAATCCCTTCTCCATTCTCCTTTCAGGAATTCGGGCACACAAGAGCTTGCACCCAGGATGGTTTTCAGGCTGCTGGGTTTAGAACTTGAACCCTGGTTGGCCATTTGGGAGACGAGCACCTTCATCACTACGCTACCTACTGACCTCTATTTGTTTAGTTTTTAAATTACCAGAGGGTGTGTGTACACTCACCAAACAGACAAAAGGAGAAAGCACCCTCCAATGGAGCATGCTCATGACGCCATCCCTTCTCCATCATTTATGCATCGTATCATGATGTTGGCATGCTTACACAAGTGCCTGGCATGGTTGTCATGTTGCCAGGCCCAGGAATGTACGATCCAGTTCCCTCAACCACTGGGCTGTGGGACCAGCCCCACGACTTTAAACACCTGAGGCAGTGGCTGGCTTTGGCCTGCAGGCTGCAGTAGCTGATCCCTGCCTTAGACAATTTCTCCCTGCGTGTCTCCAGGGCCCAAGGCTCTACTCTTGTAATACATAAGGATCTAAGCTCAGTAACTGGGTAACTCACCAAATATATGATTGTGTAATATATGAACTAAGATGAAAATCTCCTATCAGGCCAGCTTCTGGGGTAGCTTGACAGCCTGCAGTGCTGGCGGCCACAGGAACAATGCAGCTTGAATCCCTGACCTGCTTGGCCTGAAAACTCACTGGGTCCCTGTCTACATGCCCAGGATCCTAGTGGGCTGAAAGACTAGAGGAAGGGGATTGTAATCGTCTATCTATCCTGGTGATAATCTGTAACAAGGACAGCTCATTTCAGAATGAAGCTCAACAAGAAATACATTTCTTGAGAAACTGAAGGTTCATGCTCAAATCAGCCCGGTTAGGTCAAATCTAACTCAGGGTCAGTGGTCAAGAATGCACTGCAGGACTAGCAGTTAGCATAATGGCTATGTCGCTGGACTCCCATGTAGCTGAACACGGGTCCAGTCCTGAACCTGGTGACTTAAACTCACGCCGGGCACGTGTGCGTGTGTGCCCAAGATCCCGAGAGGAGAACGGAGGAGAAGGGATTGTGGCATGGCCATCCCCCTGGGGGGAGGTTTCTCGCTTTTTTCTCTCTGTCTCTGTCTTTCTGGCGAGCACACACATCCTATAGCAAAAACCTCTCCAAAAAAAAGAAAAAAAAAAAAAGAATACACTGCAATGAGTCCAGCTTGTCTGTTTTGGCATATGTGCAAAAATCTCTATAATTAAAGATAAGCAAAAGGGGAACTGAATTCTGTGAGAGAAGGCTAAATAACATTTTCCAAGTTTGAGCTGGCTAAACTCTGTGCTTATCCTATGTACATGTCTCTTCGTGTGCTTGCCTTTAAATATAACCTGTACTTACATTATGCTGACTCTCAAAACAAGACAAGAACAGTTACTGGGTCAGTATTTACTGAGCACCAACAATATGCAAGGCACCAGTATGACAGCCGTCTCTCAGTCAGCCTTCATTAGTCCTTCAATTCCTGCAATGTCCCATGGAGGCCAGCAAGGGTGCCGTGACTGGTTAAAGTAGGGGTATAGACACCCCCAAAGAGGGCTGTCCTCAGAGGCTTCAGAAGGGATGTCACTGGAAAGAAAGGAGTGTGTAGGAACTGATGGGAATGAAGAGAGAGAAATGGGGGGATGTGACAGGATTAGGTCCACAAAGAGCCTACCTGTGGTTTGAATGTGTCCCCAAAAACCATGTGTTCAATTTGGCGAGCCATTTTTAACAGCATTTAGGGCGAAGATGTCATCTGATGTGGTAAAAGGTGGGGCCTCTGGGAAGTGATGAGGCACCGAGGTGGGGCCCCCATGACTGAGTCCTGGTTTCAAGGAGAAGGAGTGGGACAGGCAGAGGCACGCTCTGCTCTACTCAAGGTTCTGCCCTCCACCATATTTGGATCAAGAAAGACGTCCCTCACCAGATGCAGTCCCTGGACCATGAACCTGCAGACATAAGTTGAATAAACCTCTATTTTCATGAAGTACCCAGACTCGGGGAATTCTGTCATCAGCAACAGAACAGACTAGAGCGAGCCTCTACACCACGCTTTGGAGTTTGGACTTTATCTCGAAGTCCTGAGAAGCCATGAAGGAGCTTAAGTAAGCCTGAGGGCTACACCATCAAGACTGCCCATGTAGATGGAACATACCAGCACGGCACGGCGGTGACAGCACAGGCAGCCGCAGGAGTGTGTGTCCACCTGTGACGACACACGAAAGAATGGGAAGGTGAGAGAAAGGCCCCAGGCTGGGGGAGGGGAGGCCCAGTGCTGGGGTTCCCAAGGCTGCATAAGCACAGGTGGCCTCCTCATGTTGGAAACCAGCGGATCACCAACCTCCTTTGCTGTCGCACGATACTCACCTTGCTGACTTTGAATGGCCTCTCCCTGGTACTCTCTCTCTCGAACTGCTTTTCCCAGTTTCCTTTGAAGTAGATGGTATTGACCAGAACTAGTTTAGTCAGTGAACTCACTGAATCTGGAGACAGCAATTCTGTAATTTTACCTGAAAGGAGAAAGATTGGAAGAACCAGTTAACTAAAAGAATCTGCTGATAGACGCACTAGGGATGATAGTCAGATGGACCGTCTCCTTGAGTAGTAAAGTACGTGGATAAAGGATTTCACTGTCCTCCAAATATAAAGAGATTTCTGTCCCTAAAGCAAAGTGACAAAAATACATAAAATGAACAAGTAGGGACCAGAAAATAGCATGATAGTTATATTACTGGACTCCCAAATAGTCAACTGCAGTCTGAGTCCCAGACCTATTGGCTTAAACTCACGCTGGGCGCATGTGTGTACGTTCCCAAGATCCCAAGAGAAGAATGGAGGAGAAAGGATTGCAGCATGTCCATCTCTTCTGGGAGTGATTTCTTACTTTCCTTCTCTCTGTCACTCTCTGTCTCTCCATCTTCCTCTGTCAAACGCGTGCACCCTATAGCAAAAATTGCTCTAGCAATAAAAAAAAAATGAATGAATAGGTGTTTCCACATATTCATAACATGTGTGACAGAAAAAGGTGTCTAGCACAGATGACTTAAAACAGGAACTTAAGGACTATGAAAAGACAATATTATGGAACTGGATGGTTGCACGGTGGTAAAATTGACACTCTGCAAAGTTGACCCACTGGGGAAGGTTCCAGGTTCATAGCCAGAGACCTCCCTGAGTAGGCAAGGCATGTGTGTGCCCATGATCTGGGGCTGACTCGGGCTACAGGTGGATCATGGTATCAAGACCCTTTAGGGTCCCTCCCCCTCATGGAAGAAAGACACAACTAATCTTTAAAATATAAAAAAAGATCATAAGATGTCTTTTACAAGTTTCAAGAGTTTAAATTAAGAGCTGCAGGTAGACAAGGCATGGCTAAGTGTCTTGTAATAAGGTGCGAAAACTATACAACTAAAGTGTACCATGAAGGAAAATAGCCCAGACCTGTCCTGTGACAAATTTTCTTTATACCATTTGTAAAAAGGAAAGACTATACTAATGTTAACAAAAACAAAAGAAAACAAACAAAAACATTAAAGTGTGGATTGTTCTGGAAGAAGTGTACCAAATATCCAGAGACATCACACATTCATTGATGAGACCGGGAGAACACTGGAGAAAATGTCATTGACTGACACTTCAGAAGCAAACTTTCGAAGCTCACTGTTATTCAGAGGAAAATAAAGATCCCGTTTACCTTTGACAGTCTTGTGAAGGAACTGACAATAAGACTGATTAAACTACTACTAAAAATAGAAAGAAAACATTTTTCACCTTCTGTCTTTTTCTCTACCCAAGTGTTGATGTGTTTTCTGGACTCCTCTGTAGCATTCATAAAATCAAGCTCTTCCATCTCTGATTCGTAGAATTTGCAGCAAACAATCTTTAAAGGACTGGAACAGACAAAGCAACATAACTACACAGTACAGAGATGATACCAACGGCTACCTGCTTCATTGTCCCAAATCAGAAAATTAATTAACTTTATGATTTTACAGATGTGGTTTATAAAAACAAAATGAAGACATAACCTTAAGTCTGACCTTTCAGTTTTTCAGTTACATTTAATTTTAGTTTATTAACTAAGTAAAACACTGATCTGGATACCAAATAAGTTTTCCAGGAACCAGCAGTTAGTGTAATGGCTATGTTGCTGGACTCCCACGTAGTCGACCACAGTTCGCGTCCCGGACCCGGTGGCTTAAACTCATGCCGAGCGCGTGTGCGTGCGTGCCCAAGATCCCGAGAGAAGAATGGAGGAGAAGGGATTGCAGCGTGGTCATCCCCCCTGGGGGGTGATTTCTCGCTTTCTATCTCTCTGTCCCTCTCTCTCTCTGTCTGGCGAGTGCACACGCCCTATAGCAAAAACCTCTACAAAAAACAAACAAATAAGTTTTCCAGACCATTGGATCCTCTAAGGGAGCAGTTTATAAAGGCGACAGCAGCAGCTACACCTCAGAGGTCATGCTGAAGACTAGATGAATTATTTGCATTATCACTATTGTAAGTATCATGACCAAATTCTCCTGATGTTGCAGGCACTGCCTAGACTAAACATCAAGGATGTTTCATCTTTGCATAGTACATACTTTGCCAATTTCACTCTTCTGCTTGTTGATCAATGCCTTTGAATTTTTTTTTTTTTAATCTTTCAGTCTAGGAAAATAGTGTGGACGCAAACCAGTTACTCACAACTTCCACCTTTGGATGACTTTTTACAACTTTTAAACACACTGGACAAACAACAGTCTGTTATTTAAGTTACTATTTTACAAGCAACAACTAGCCCAATAAAGGAATAGCTGATCATCTATTTCAATTGATGTTACATTCTTGGAACACGAAAATAATACGAACCGATTAACAAATATTTGGAATCTCTTTATTTCCCAATATCAAAACAGTTTAAATAGCAATACCTTCACAAAATAGCCACCAAAAAAAAGAAGGAAAAACAAATAAATGTTTTAGAATAATAGTCCTTGATTTTGGGAGTTTTGTTTTTCTTCCACAGGAGGCTTAGGAGAAGATAACAGTGATCTAGAAAGTAGCTACGACAGTTAAAAAATAAATAAAACAATTGTCAAGTGCAAATCTTACCTCCTGTTTGATTACATTAATTTCACAGCAATTTGTTTTAGAAATTCATTTGGTCTGAAATAGGTTTGAAAATGATAAAATAGAAATCATAAGGAAAGAGTACAATTGACACAAACATATAAGGAATTCTCATAACATAGTAAGAAAAGGGCCCAGTATATGGCAGAAGGTTGAGGCAGGTGGATCGTACATGGCCAACTCTTGTTGGAGCCCCAGGCCTGGCAACTTGAAAATCATGCCAGGCACATGTATATACATGCCCCAGATTCTAAGACCAGAATGAAGGAGAAGTGTTACAGCATGGCCATACTCCTTGATCCCAAGATCCACCCTGAGGGGTGCTTTCTTTTGCTCTCTGTTTTTGTTTTCTCTCTCTTCCATTCTCGCTTTCTGTCTCGTTCTATCCTGGCAAGCACACATGCTCAATAGCAAACTAAAAAATAAAAAAACAATGTAGTCATTGTAGATAATTTAGAAAATGTGGATGAAGTAAATGAAGAAAATAAATGTTAAAAGAAAAAGAAGACAATGGGACCAGCAGTTAGTGTAATGACTATGTCGCTGAACTCCATGTAGTTGACTGCGGTTTGAGTCCTGGACCCGGTGGCTTAAACTCACGCTGGGTGCGTGTGCGTGTGTGCCCAAGATCCCGAGAGGAGAATGGAGGAGAAGGGAGTGTGTCATGGCCATCCCCTCTGGGGGGTGATTTCTCACTTTCTATCTCTGTCTCTCTCTCTCTTTCTGGTGAGCGCACGTGCCCTATAGCAAAAACCTTTCCAAAAAAAAAAGAAGAAGAAAAATGAGGAGTCAGAAGGGAGCCCAGTGATAAAACTGGTGCTATGCAAGGTTGAGTCACATTGGAAGGTTCTCTGTTTGTATCTATAGACCTCCCTGAGTATGCTGGGCATGTGTGCATCCATGTCCCAGGCTGAGGTCAGGGGTAGGTCGTAGTATAAAAACTCTGTTGGGGATGCTAGCTTTCTGTCTCTCTGTCTGTTTCTCTCTTTCTATCCCTTGCTCCTAGGAGAAATAGAGGAATAAACTTCACAAATGCAATGAGGTGCCAGGAGATGGCATAGCGAAACTGGAGGTAGATCATGGCAGGCATGTAGTCCGTGTTGGGGTTGCCCGTCTATCTCTCTCCAGTGATTTTTGAAAATGAGAAAGATCCACCTACACAGAGATAAAGAAAATTTAAGACATACTGGTAGGTGAAGACAGGCAAATTGCTGAGAGCACATACGGAGCAAGGACACTGGCAGCCCCACTCCGCTGGAGCGCACGAGCCCGCCTCCCACCTCCTACCTTGATGTCCTTAATGAAAACCAGCAAGTGAGACTTACAGAGAGGAACTCGTAAGACTTTTCCCCGAAGAGCCTGTTGGCCGTCCTCAGCAAGTACTGCGCGTCAGGCTTGTTCAATGCACTGAGAAGCTGCTGGAAACCCTGGTGGACGTCCACACCTCCATTGTCACTTTCATCAAAAGAAAGCGCCTAAAATGAAAAACAGAATAAAAATACACAACTTCAGTGTGCCCTAACTTCAGGAACTGGATACACCACCAAACTCAGCCTAACAGGTGTACAGATCCCTGCTATAACTTAAAAGATCACCTGATCTAAGATGAAAGGTCTTGAAAGCTCCCTCCCTGGCCTCCCTCCTTGTTGTTACAGGGATGAGCAGAAATGCCCTAACACAAACCCAGGCTCTTCACACTCACTACTTGCACTATGGTTGCAAATACGGCTGCCAATCAGACCTCCCAGCTCTGCCTACGAAGGTGGCTTCTGACCCCAGAAGGTGCAGTCTGTCCCCTGCTACTGGATCTAGGCTACTTACACACCCCTGGCCAGACTTTGGAACTGCAGTGGTTCAATGACTGCAATATACACCGCTCCCCATATCTCCTCCTACGGGCTGAGTTGTGCCCCCCATCTCAGATCTACACATTGAAGTCCCAACTCCCAATATCTCAGAATATGACCTTAATTGGAGACAGGGTCCTCAAAGGATAATCGAGTTAAACTGCAGTCGTCGGGGTGGGCCCTAATCCACTATGACTGGTGTCCTTTAAGAAGTAGAGATTAGGACAGACACACAAAGACACAGAGGAATGACCGTGTGAGGACACAGAGAGAAGACAGCCATCTACAAGCCAAGGACGGGGCTTCAGGAGAAACCGGCCCTGGACACACCTTGACCTCAGACTTCCAGCCTTCAGAACTGTGAGAAATAAACTCCCATGTTTTAGACCGCCCCGTGTAAGATCTTCTATAGCAGTCCTAGCAAACTAATACACCGGCACCATGTTTTTAAAGAAAGTATTCGCTGCAGTTATTCCTCCCTGTCTCACTGCAGTATATTCAAGAAGGAGAAAGAAGGGGGGCAGATAATTTGTTCCTTTCGTTCACAAATCCTGGTTCCCAGGAACAATACTCAAGGAGCTGCATTGAAAGAGCCTGAATTCCTGGATCACTCCTGTTTCTCCTGGACTTCTAACCCAAGCCTTACTCCATAATGAAATGAGAATTCGGGGTCCTGGGAAAAGAAGGGGACCTTACATGTGAGAGGCTGAGAACCATTAGGGATCTGGAGGCAGATGACAGCAGTCATGGGTGGCCCTGGTGAGCCATACCGTCAGGGTCCATGCCTTAGTTCAGTCCCTCTCAGTCCCTAATACCCAGTGGGGCTTTAGCAAGCAGGAGACAGGCGGAGACTTGAGCACCTGCCCTCCAACCTGCCCTCCTGGGCCGCTCCTCCTGGAACTCAGTTATTGAGCCTCATGATCCTGGGCTGCTCTGCCAAAGAGGCGTGTGTGGGAGGCCCGAGAAGAAAAGGCCACACAGAAGAGGCGAGAGGCACCCTGGTTGAGCCTCTGCCACACAACGGACCCTCCGGCACCCAGTGACAGATGCACCATCAGATCTGCCAAAATCAGCCAACAGGAAATTGTCATCTTAAGCTGTTAGCTGTTGGGATGTGGTTACTCCTCAACAAATAAGTGAAATACTTCATTTTTGGTGGACAAGAACCATTCTTATGAGGTTTTTACACTTAAATGAGAAACTTTCAAAGCATGGAAAAGCAATCGACAAGACTGCATGTGAACCATGTGACTTCACAGCTACTTATAAAGTCATGGACAGCTAAGCCATGCGGTGAACTACCCAGTCCTCAGAATCCAGCACCACCCTCCTTCCACAACAGAGGTGGAGCTCGTCCCAATGTACTCATGCAGGAATAGTGTATCTTCCCTGTAACTCCATCCACACCCCTACAATGCCCACACAACTGTGTACAGAGAACAATCCCTTTGGGATGTGAAATGTGCGGGACCAGCTAGAATCAACAATGCACAACATTTATTGCTGCCCTGCAATGGTGTTCCATACCTTAGCCATCTGGGCTGCGGTGTTTCCCTGGGCTCCCATGAGAACCATGGCCAGGCAGGAGGAGAGGCTCACAGGTGAGAAAAACACATTCCTTGAGTTGTCTTCACACAGCACTTTTAAAAGATTTAAGGCAAAGGTGCCATTGGCTTTTGATAGAGAATCCATGATGGCGAGCCTGGGACGACAAGTTCTAAATCAGTATCACATAAACCCAGGCACACGCGTCTACTGCATGTTTATTCTCCTCCTCATTAAGTTACCATGGATACTTTGGTTCAGGAGCAAATAAACACACACACACACACACACACACACACATACACGACTCAGTGTCTTTGAGGCTCTCAAAATGATGTTGCGTTGCTATTATTAAGTTAAAAATCTGAACATTTATTATATTGGGCCTTTTGAGAAAGTCATGATGTAGTTTTGCATAGAAAAAGACCTAATAGTATGGTCCAATTTGGTCGAGACTCCTGTCAGCACACTTAGGCCAGAGCCAGAAAAAGCATGCGGGGGGCACATAGGACTCTCCCTAGGCACTTCCTGGGAGCAGGACTACAGAAGGTCTACTGGCATATTTCCGCGTCTATACCCTTGTGCATTGTATGTGCTTACATGTGTTGTTTCATTCAAGACGGTCATCAAAAATTCCTAGAAAATGTATTATAAATGAAAACTATGCATAGATTTCAACGTTATTGAAATCATCTCATCCTTTAATTCCAAGAACTTTTTGAAGTGCTCTCATAATGTAAAAATCATTCAGAGTGATACATTTGCTTGCAAAGTTACAGCAGAAAGGACAAATGTCCTGTGAGAGAGGACCCCATTTTAGGGTAACCTTAAGCCTTAAAATAAAAGTCAAGCCTCACACATAGGTGTACGTAGGAGAGCCTTACAATCAGCACCTTTGGGTCCTCGGTTCTTCTAGGCAACTTTTGCTTGTGGCAAAGCCCAAAATCAGAGCGGGCTCCGAGGACCTTCTGCTGTCTGGGGCATGCGTTCCTCCCCTTTGTTCTGGACCTTGGGGTGCTGGCCCATGCCCTCACAGTGCCCTCACACACAAACCCAGCTCAGGGCAGCAGGGACCTGCTCACCTCCACCTGCAGGTACATGCTCAGAGCTCAGAGCTCTGTGTAAGTCCTGGTATGCAGGGCATTCGGCAGTCCCAACAGCCCTGGCAAGGTCGGGAACAGGAATACAGCTGGGCAGTAGGGTGTGGGGAAGGGCAGGAGTATTTCAAGGCTGGTAGGAACCATTTACGAAATGTTAAAGAACAGTAGGACTTTAGAGACACCCATTACAACCAGGAATGTGAAGATCACAGATGTGAAGGGATATTCCCAAGCTAAGGAGCCCACAGCTAGCTCAGAGCCAACACTCTGCCTCCGACCACTGCTTAGCACCAATGCTCTGCCCTCCCACCAAAGGTCAGAGGACAAGAGGCAAAGGGTGCAGTCAGGGAAGCTGCAGACAGAGCAGAGTGCCTGGGAAGCAGGGCCTGGCCTCTCTATAGTCCTGCAAAAATATTTACCAAATCAGTATTTCCAAGTCAGGGAACTCATACATGCTGAGAAAGTCCTGATGACACCTGAGCAGAGGGTGGGAGACCACAGAACAAGGAAAAGGGGAAACAAGGGTGGATATTTTCACAGAGTGGACAGGACTGGGGAGAGGCTACCCAACCAAACAGCTGGAGATCCCAGTGATGGATTAACCCAGGCTTCTCTAAGCACACCTCTACGTCTATAGCTGTGGTGTTCCTTCATAGGAAGGGACTCCAAAAGAAAAGTTTGTAAAAAATCAAATTAAAGTGCAAGTTTGGGCCAGCTGGTGGCTTGGGGGTTAAGGCAGCTGGACTCCCACATGGTGACCGCAGTTCAGGTCCCAGACCCAGCAGCCTGAAAGTCATGCTGGGGCATGTGCAGGTGTACCCCAAATCACAAGGGGAGACTGGAGGACAAAGGATTGAGGTATGGCCATCCCCACTGGGGTGATTTCTCCCTTTCCCTCTCTCCCTATATCTCTCTGTCTCTGTCTGGTGAGCTCATGACCCTATAGTAAAAACTAAAAAAAAAAAAAAAATTAAAGCAATTTTTCCTCAACAAGAGGGTAAGGCTGTCAGTCCATAGTCATTGTCCAACCCAGCTACTTTTAACACGGAGCGCTCAATCTTTTTGGAGCCAAGTATAATCAGGGAAGCAAGACTTCAACAAACACCAAACTTCAGGGTCTTGTAACCTGATGTCTCTCCTTCAGATGAAGTGTCACTGAGTTTTCTTCCATCTGAGATTCATGGCTGTGTTCTATCATGTAACTTGGTTCCAGGTCTTTTACTTTAATTTTTAGGCCTTTAGGTTGGTACATAGACACTATGCTTGTTAGTTTAGGAACCTATAATAACCAGTTTTTTTTTTCTGTAGCATTGCAAATGCAGTGTAAACATTATAAATTCTTTAGCACAGGAAAAGTTGGTCGTAATCAAAATACAATCTTTTGTGTCAACCCTGACTGAACCAATCTGACCCAAGGGACTGCCTCTGTGAAGACATCTGCCGTGACACTACCTGTCCCACTGATACAAGTGACACCAACAATCATACCAATAACAAAAGATGGCATCAATTGACCCTTGTTACTTATCCGTAAACAATGATCCCTCTCTCTTGTTTTGACTTTAAACCTCCTTGAGGAGTATAAGACCTTGGCGAGCACATCCTGGGCAACCTGAGTGTGTTCATCCAGGTTGCATGCCAGGTGCAGTCCTCACACATATGCTCAGGTAAACTCCTTGTTTCACATACTTTGACTAGTTTACCTTTTTAGGCTGACAGTGCCTTTCTCAAATTTCTTGTGTACCTTCTCTAAACATCTTAATGGACTCAGGGCTTTGTACCAACAATATACTTCAGCTAAAGGATGTTTGTTTCCTTCCTGGTGCTCAAATTATCCTAACTTGACAGGATTCTCTTTCAATTGGTTTGTCACCAGATGTTGATTTTAAAGACCGTTGTGTTAAAGCAACAATTAAATCTTACAGGACTATTTCTACTTTATCTAGGCCCAAGACTTCGGTATCAGCCCTCCCCCTGGTTCCTTTTAATGGAGAACTTAAAGTGTAAAATCTGTTGAGTATTGAGGCTGATGGGAAATACTGCTGCTGTTGTTGGGCACATCAGTGACAAAAACAGAACATATATTTCCTTTGTTTAAGACTTTCATGCATCATACTACAATTTAGATTTTAATTTAAAGTTCTGATACACTCAGCTCTCCTGAAATATAATTTCACTTATGGCTTTTATCCAGGCTGCAATTCTACTACTCTTTTCTTTCCTTATATGAAGATACTTCAAAAAGTTAAGAAACAGTAGAATGAATGTAGTTTTTTTTAGTACAAAAATAAATCAGAAATAAATGCATAGTTTTTTCTTTTCTTCTCTTGTTTTTTGGTGTTTTTTGTTTGTTTGTTTGGTTGGTTGGTTTTTGGTTTTTGTTTTTCTTATCCTTAAATTTGCTTTTGGCACATGCACAGATTGGAGAGAGACAGAGAAAAAGTGAGAAGCACCCATCCCAGGGGGAAGGGCCATGCAGTAATCCCTTCTCCTCCATTCTTCTCTTAGGATTTTGGGTTGCAACCACATGTGCCTATGTGTTTTTCGAACTGCTGGGCCCAGGACTTGAATTGTACAGTCAGCTATGTGGGATCCAGCCGCCTTCACCACCACCTGTCACCCACCCACCACCTACATAGTTTTTTCACAATTCACATTTTCCATTAATTTTCTGAAGATCCCGTGGACATCAGTGTTGCACTAACCAGTGTTTATCAGCCACATTACTGGCACGATTCCACGTTGGACCCATGTTCTTTAGTGTGCTGAGATATTTTATTCATACTTCTGACTCATGGCTGCATCGCTTTCTGGACTCCAGGTTTGCTGCTGAGAAGTCTGGCATTCTGACCCACTTCCCATCTACTTCCCCACTCCATTGCCCACTCTTTAGAAGCTTACGACATCTTATCCTTATTCCCGATGTCACAATGAGGGGTCCTTCTGTGGCCCAATGCCTTCATTTTGCTGGGCCCTTTCCTAGCCATTCAAGAGAATTTCCTTCCCACTCTGGGAAAAATGTTTAAGGCTCTTGCTCATCTCCTCCAGATTCACTCACTTCTTTCTTACTGTATCTCCTACTAGTCTTGGATCAACCATTATCTGGGACTGCTCAACATTCTTCATGTTGTGGTACATACACAAAATGCTATTTGTATGGCTCCTTGTGGCAAATATCCTTGCTGCAAAGGTGACTAGCAGAGTGCTCAAGAGCTCCAGGCCCCCCAGGGACTAGCAGTTAGCGTAATGGCTATGTCGCTGGATTCCCATGTAGTCGACCACGGTTCACATCCTGGACCCGGTGGCTTAAAACTCATACTGGGCTCGTGTGTGTGCGTGTGTGCCCAAGATCCCAAGAGGAGAATGGAGGAGAAGGGATTGTGGTGTGGCCATCCCCCCTGGGGGGTGATTTCTTGCTTTCTGTCTCTCTGTCTCTCTCTCTGTCTGGTGAGCGCACACGCCCTATGGCAAAAACATCTTCAAAAAAGAAAAAAGAGCTCCAGGCCCCTGAATCTCTGCACCCTGAACCCCCCAACTGCCCTGAGATGGAAGAATCTGTACCTTAACTGGCCCTTTATTCCACTCAAACAATGCCTCTGCTAGCCTTTCTTCTCTCTTTCACATTTCACCACCTCAATATTTTGTTTCATTTTTAAAAATATCTACCCTTTTATTTATTATTATTATTTTTTGTGTGTGGAAAGGTTTTTGCTATAGGGTGCGTGCGCTCGCCAGAAAGACAGAGAGAGAGGTAGAGAGACAGAAAGCAAGAAATCACCCCCCAGGGGGGATGGCCACACCACAATCCCTTCTCCTCCATTCTCCTCTCGGGATCCTGGGCACGCACGCACACGCACCCGGTGTGAGTTTAAGTCACCAGGTCCGGGACTTGAACCGTGGTCGGCTACATGGGAGTCCAGTGACATAGTCATTACACCAACTGCTGGTCCTTATTTTCTTAGTTTTTAAGGTTTTTGCCACAGGGCTTGTAGGCTCGCCAGAGACAATGAAAGAGAAAGTGAAAAATCAACCCTGAAGAGATAGCCACACCACAATGTCTTCTCCATTTTCCTTCTGGAACTTTGTGTACACACACACACACACACACACACACACACACACACGTGCTTGGTGTGATTTTCATGCAGCCAGTTCCGGGACTCAAACCATGATCCTCTCATTTCAGCTCAGTATCTCCCCCTCCCACAGTGCCTGGAGGATCCTGAGTTCCAGCATCAGTTCCTGTAGAGGTGAGACCTGACTTCCTACTGGGTGGCTGGGCAGGGAAGGGAGGAGGCTTGTCTGGTTGCTAGGGTAGGGGTGGCGTCTGATTTTAGCAGCCTTTCAAGGCCCATTCTGCACCCCTGCATGTCACCCCTGCCTTTCCAGGTTCTCGCGCCTCCAATGTTGAGGCTGCAGGCTCCTTCCTCTGTCCACTTTCTCCCTTCCAGAAATTTACTGGCATCTCTTCACTGTTTGTCTCCTCCCTCGTTTTCTGTGTTATTCAGTTTAATGCTTCAAAAACTTTCCTGACTATTTTTAGCTGGCTTTTCCAAGAGAAAGAAGATAAACACCATGGTCACGAATATGCAATAACTATTTTTATGAGAATGAAAAAAACAACTGAATGTTTAAAAGCCATTTCTTCACTATTATCTGGTTTCTCTTTAATTGATTTATTTTGCCCGGGGACCCATGCATTCATCAGAGAGACAGAGACGGGAGCGGGGGAGGGAGTCGTACTCCCCAAGGGGATGTAATCACATTGCAATCCTGTCTTCTCCATTTCTCCACTTGTCATGATTTTGAGCACACATGCACATATTCCCAGTATGTTTTTCAAGGCAGGGTAGGATTTAACCTCAGGGTTGGCTATGTGGAATCAGGCTCTCTTTAATTTAATTTAATGTATTTATTTATTTATTTATTTAGGAGAGGTTTTTGCTATAAGGCGTGTGCACTCGCCAGACAGACAGAGAGAGACAGAGAGACAGAAAGCGTGAAATCACCCCCCAGGAGGGATGGCCATGCCACAATCCCTTCTCCTCCAGTCTCCTCTCGGGATCTTGGGCACGCACGCACACGCGCCCGGTGTGAATTTTAAGCCACAGGGTCCAGGACACGAACCGCAGTCGACTACATGGGAGTCCAGCGACATAGCCATTATGCTAACTGCTGGTCCCAATTATATATATATATATTTTTTATCATCATCATTTTTTTTTTTTTAACCAGAGCAAGAGAGAGAAAGGGAAAGGCTGCGAGGTCTGTGATTACACTGCAGTCAGCCGTGTGGGAATCCAGAACCTTTACCATCACGCCACCTGCCAGCCCCTGGATCCCGCTCTCTGAACCACTAGGCCACAGAGTTGTCCCACCTCATTTCTCTTTTAACTGTGAACTATGTGCCCATTTATTAAAATCCTTTTGTCCTGAAATGTGAATTTGAAAATAATCTGCCACCCTTACATACTCATAAAACAATTTCCATATCCCTTTGCAATAATAAGTAAATCCTGAAAAATAAACCTAAATGTAAAGTTGACTACTCACTAAGATATTCCAAAAATTAAAAAAATATATAAATGATCTAGTGACAGTTTTATATTGGGGTTTTCTCTTATCCATTCAGTGAACGTGTAGTATAAAAGTGTGTGTATAT